AAGACGCGCTGTCAGGCAGCCTGCCCCGCGCGACTGCACCCCACGTAGCCTCCGGCCCTGGTAGCAATCCCCGCGGGAGGAGCGAGTGGCTTCCCGTGGGCTTCATTGTCCCAAGATCCAGTTGTGGGGTTTGGATCTGGTTCCCTTCCGTTTTATTCGAGGGGGTAGGGTGGGGTGGGGGGAGAAACAGCAGCTGCGTGACACGGAAGGGAAGACAAGGAAATGTGTCCTAAGTCATATGATCTCTGTTTTCTGGTCTTGAGTAGTTTCACTGTTTTTTTTCTTCGTCTTCTTTTTTTTTTTACCCCCAAATACGAAGAAGACAGGCTATACCTGCTAGAGTCCGAGCCTGCCTAGGTGATCAATATAAAACTACTAGGTGACAATGAAGGCTGGGCTAGGTAGGGCCTAACAGCGAAGCTGTTGTTTAGCAGGGAAATGAACCAGCAGAATTATTTTTTTCCACTGGGTGGGTGATGCGTTCATGTTCCTAAGGGAATACATTAGGATACGCTGAAAGCAAACAAAACAAAACAAAAAAATAGGCCGGGTATATTTCAGTTTCTGAAATTGATTGGTTTCTATTAGGTTAATGAAAATTCACCCGCCGGAGAGGATTTTGTTGATGCAGACAATACATTTGGTTGAAAAGGCATCCTTTAAAATGATTCGAATCTTAAGCGGATGGTATTTGCAGTGCTACGCCAACCTTTCTGCTTAGAACAAGCATCTGATAGGATGAAGCAGGATGAGGCGGGGCAGGTGGAGGGATATGTGAGAGTTACATTATAAATATGTACTTAGCCTTCAGAGACCTAGGAATTCAGCACTGAGAAATAGCTAGTCTTTTTGCCACAGTTTTTATTTTTATTTTTTTAAAAATAAAGTCAGGGATGCTTTTAGTTCTAACTCTTGTAAGTGCTATAAAACTTTGGTGTCCTAAAACAAGACTTAAGTGGGCTTAACAGAAACTAAGACGAAGCTCACACTGGCAAAGTCGGGCCCCCTTGTCTGCCTCCCTGAAGCAATGGAAGGCAGAGCCCAACAAAACCAAGATCTGTACTGTTGTAGTGTGATCTCTCATATGTGTGCCCTAGTCCCCTGCCCTGCACAAATACATAGAACATTTTCTACATGCTCCTTGAGTGGTCTTTTTTCTTTTTAAAACCCTATTCTCAACAGTTGTATTAGTTTACTCCTTGTATTATAAATTATTAATTATACTGAAGTGGCCTTTTGAGTTACAGATTAAAGGAAGATGCCATAACATGTGCTTTTTGTAAAAACAGACTGGCTTCCCTACTTATTAATAACCTGACATCCAATAATATTTTACAGTGTGGTCAACTCTATAACCTGTGTTAAAAATAAAATTTACACACAAGAGCTTAATGATGTTTGTTTTTCTTTAATTTGTGAGTTATATTCTCAACTTGTACTAGAACTTACCTTTTGATAATATATTTTGGGAGGCTTATTTTGCTATAAAACGGGGCTTTTATTGAAATACAATTTTTGTTCTTTCTGCTTAAATTTAATGTTATTTTTAGAATGTATTGGATTTTAGCCAATTTTTTGTTTTGTTGGTTTGGGGAGGCAGGGTTCAAGACAGGGTTTCTCTGTGTAGCCATGGCTATACATGACTGTCCTGGAACTCCCTCTGTGTATTCCAGGCTGGACTAGAACTCAGAGATCCACTTGCCTCTGCCTCTCTGAGTGCTGGTGTCACAGGCATGTGCACCACCACCCAGCTTTGTTACTTGATTTTTTTAGAGACAGGGTTTCTCTGTATAGCTCCGACTGTTTTAGAACTTGCTCTGTATATAGGCTGGCTTCAAACTCAGAGATCCACCTGCCTGTTTCCTGAGTGCTGGGATAAAAGGTATTCGACACCGTGTTGGGCTTAGATTTCAGCCAGTTTTTTAAAAAAATTCATAATTAAATTCCATATGTGAGTTTTAGTCAGTAAAAATTTAAATATATTTTACTAATAAATTTCATGGTATCCTAAGATTATTTTAGCATTAGAATAATGAAGTTAGACATCAGGTGGTTTTTAAAATTCCGTGCTTAGTAATTTGTTTCACTTACTCATTTCTTTTTATTTACGGGGGGGGGGGGGGGGGGACAAAACTCAGTTTTACCACTGCATCTGCTAGTAATCATTGATGGTGGTAAAAGCTCTGTGTTTGAGCTTCTTATCTAGATGGGTTTACTGTGTGTGTGTATGTGTTTACATGTGTCAGAGCATGTGTATGTGCTTATGCACATGGAAATCTGAGGTTAAAATCTTCCTTGACTGCTTTTCTACATTGTTTATTTTGAGGCAGGGTGTCTCTTGTTGAATCCAAAGTTTATGGGTAAGGTTAGTCTTACTAGCCAGCATGTTCCAGGGATCCCATTTTTAGGTTTTAAGACTAATACACCTTTCCACACAGGTCTCCATACTCACTCAGCATTTTACATGGCTTCTGGTGATCTAAACCCTGTCTGATCTTCTTGCTTACCTGGCAGTTCCTTTAACCAGACCCTGTATGGTTCATTCACTCAACAAAATTCTGTTCTGATAAATCTGTTTACTATCTAATGCATACTGATTTTTTCTTGTGTCTTAAACATCAGATTGTTAAGCAATGTACTATTCTAATAAGAATATGATAGGTGACGTTAAGTTGTAAATACCTTTCTATCTGTGTTCTGAATTAGTTATATGCCACCAATGTTTGACGAGTAGTTAATGATTAAAGCATTAAACATTGATCTCTTTCACACAAAAAATGGGGTCATGTTTAGTGGGGTAAAAGCCTCAATCCATCTTTTCTCATTTAATTTTCCTCAACAATGGAGATTTCTAATGATTATCCATGGCAAAGTGAGCTTTGGTTTATTTGCTCTAGTGTTTTATGAGGGATGTGTTCAGTAATGAGTTCACTTTTTGTGGTATAAAAAGAATAAGAAAACATCTGTGATTGATTAAACTGTCTATCTTAACTGGTTTGGTTGAAATGATTGTGCAACAGCATATTTCTTTGCTCTTTTTTTTTAAAAGGCAAAATAACATAACCAAATGTATGAAACCTGTTTACATGTCAAATAAAAGCATATAAGAAACTAACAGGAAGCCGGGCGTTGATGGTGTGCGCCTTTAATCCCAGCACTCGGGAGGCAGAGGTAGGCGGATCTCTGTGAGTTCGAGGCTAGCCTGGTCTCCAGAGCAAGTGCCAGGATAGGCTCCAAAGCTACACAGAGAAACCCTGTCTCGAAAACCAAGAGGAAAAAAAAAAAAAAAGAAAGAAAATATTTCTCATAGGGGGCATAGTATTTCTGATAAAGTGAATAATTCCTACACTGCATGGAATGCCTACTAAATGGCAGTTTTGCAACATTTTTCTTTATCAAGGTATTGTGTAACACATTTAAAGTTGAAAAACTAAGGGTTGGAGAAAAGCCTCTGCAGTTAAGATCGATAGCTGCTCTTGTGGAAGATCCAAGTTTAGTTCCTAACATCCATGTGGTGGTTCACAAGTGCTGCAACTCCAGCTCTAGGGAGTCAGGTACCCTCTTCTGGACTTGACACCAGGAACACACATGGTCAATATCTCTGTAGGTGCAGTTAAACACATAAAATTTTAGTAAGCTCTTTTAAAATGTTAGAAAAACTCGAAGCACAGAATTAGTTAATGACTGTTTCTGTGACACACATTGCAGAATTGTTGAGTCTGTAACTGAACCTTTGTCTTTTTGACCAAAGTCAAAATTCTTTTGACTTATCTTTTTTGTAAGTTTAAGGGTGACACTTATTGTCTTACTGTCATTAATAAAATGGTAGCATTGGAAGTGTTTTACAAGTCTTCTGTACAGTGTTCCCACACATTGCTAATATTCTTGAGATCCAGCATTTCCATGAACTCTTCCCTAGACTTGAAAGGAAACCCATTTAACTTTCAGAAAGTTTAATGAAAGATTGTTACCAGAGTTCTAGGCCAGAGGAGTTCCCAGCTAACCAGATTGAGCCATCTGCTGCATGGGGAGGAGAGAGGAGTGAGGTGAAATCAGAAAGGATTGTTTTTCAGTGTGGCTACACTAGCAAGGAACAAGAGAAACAGTATACTAACTAACCCCTGTCTTCTGGATACATTATATAAATTAAGGAAGAAGTGGGGGCCAGGAGCATTCATAATCAAACAGCGTTAGCTAAACCATGATCTGGTTGATCATTATTTGATTCTGCTGGGTCCGGTTGGCACCGGGAAGTCATTGTTGCTTGAAGGGACAGCTCAGTTCCTTTTAGGAGATGATTGGTCCTGTTTAGGAGAGCAGTCTAGGATCCTTTCAGGAAGTAGAAGACA